TAAGTAACAGGGCACAACTGGAGAAACTGGTTATTTTACCAAGGCTTTGACTGGCATGGTGTTTTTTTAAAAAAAATCAAACTTGATTTATGGAGTCAATAATAGCCCCTTGGGAAAACTGAAATCTTGCCTAAACAGTCCCTGTACTATGACATTTTGTACTTACCACAGATCAGGATTTCTGACCTGTGGTAAGTAAAAAATACCACTTCCTGAAAAATTCAGGAGCTCCAGGTTTATCTTGAATTCTCAAGAGGAGAGAAATTCACCCAACTCAGGTATTGAATGGTACAAATCTATGGCTAGGCTTGGCTTTTAAAAATCTTTTTTTTTTCTACCTATGCCTCCTGAGTTCAAGCGATTCTCCTGCCTCAGCCTTCCAAGTAGCTGGGATTACAGGCATGCAGCATCATGCTTGGCTAACTTTTTTTGTAGAGGCAGTGTTTCTCCATGTTGGTCAGGCTGCTTTCAAACTCCTGACCTCAGGCTATCTGCTTGCCTCGGTCTCCCAAAGTGCTGGGATTACAGGTGTGAGCCAATGACTCCATCAGGAGATTGTTTTTTATTAGGTGGGCATTATTTATGATCTTTTCTATAGAAAACTAAAGATATTAAAATGTAAGGTATGTAATGAAAATCTAAGTTGAGAGGCTCTTTGGGGTTAGGTTATAATATTGAGTGATACATGAGGTAGGTGTTCAGAGTAATATTCTGCATTATGAGAAGAAAACATGTTGAATTATTTTGCAAATCAAATTGGTATTGTATTTTTGTACTAATTCTTTTATATATTATATAAATTTGTATATCATAAAAATTTTATAAAATTAAATTTTATAACTTTTATGATGAAAATATAAAATTGGATAAAATAAAATATATAATATTTGAACCTCTTATATAAAATTTTATATAATTTACAAAATTATATAAAATTATAAAAATATATAAAATTATATAAAGATGCAGTACTTTTAAAAAATTTTAGACTGTGAAATTAATAGTGCAATTCAACATTTTTAAGATGTTAAATAGGCCGGGCGCGGTGGCTCAAGCCTGTAATCCCAGCACTTTGGGAGGCCGAGGTGGGTGGATCACGAGGTCAAGAGATCGAGACCATCCTGGTCAACATGGTGAAACCCCGCCTCTACTAAAACTACAAAAAATTAGCTGGGCATGGTGGTGTGTGCCTGTAATCCCAGCTACTCAGGAGGCTGAGGCAGGAGAATTGCCTGAACCCAGGAGGCGGAGGTTGCGGTGAGCTGAGATCGCGCCATTGCACTCCAGCCGGGGTAACAAAAGCGAAACTCCGTCTCAAAAAAAAAAAAAAGATGTTAAATAGTATTTTACATGCAGTGAGGTGTTATTATGCCACAACCTTTATCCTCTTCCACTTTACTCAAGGGTGTAGGTAAAAGATGGTAACAATATGCTATTTAGTAGCATAATGGATGAACATCTCTAGTGATTTTTTTTGTGCCAGTAACCTTCAACTGCAAATAAGTTAAAGAATATTGTTTCTGTAGGTTAAATTTTTATTCTGTTTTTAATCATTTAAATTTAATTTTGACATACTTTAAAAAAATGTCTATGAAGCATGTCGCTGGTAATGTCATAGAGGTTGTATTATATCTGTAGATCATTTGTGTAATACAAATATTTAACTATTAATAATGCTAGTTCATGAATAAGTAATAATAATTCATTATGTATTACTTAATTTCTATCATGTCCTTTAGAGTTGAATGTATTGTTGTTATAACCAATATGAAATCTCACCAATATGATTTCTTTTACTGTTACAAAATTTAGAAAAGTTTGAGGTGTTGTCAAAAGCATGTCATGTTTCTGCTTTGTAGAGTTTCTCTCCAGTGTGAATTATCTCATGTCTTTTAAGAACTGAGGACTAGGTAAAGGCTTTGCCATATTTTTCACACTCATAGGGTTTCTCTACAGTGCGAATTTTCTTATGTTTAGTAAGATAGGAGTACTGGTTAAAGGCTTTGTCACATTCATCACATTTGTAGACTTTCTCTCCTGTATGAATACTCTTAGGTCTAGAAAGGTATGAGGATAGGGTAAAGCCTTTGCCACATTCTTCACATTTGTAGGGTTTCTCTCCAGTATGAATTATTTTATGATTAGTAAGGTGTGAGGACTGTTTAAAATCTTTGCCACATTCTTCACATTTGTAGGGTCTCTGTCCAGTATGAATCATCTTATGTTTACTAAGGGTTGAGAATACGTTAAAGGCTTTGTCACATTCTTTACATTTGTAGGGTTTCTCTCCTGTATGAATTATCTTATGTCTAGTAAGGTATGAGGATAGGGTAAAGCCTTTGCCACATTCTTCACATTTGTAGGGTTTCTCTCCTGTATGAATTCTCTTATGTCTAGTAAGGTGTGCGTGCCGGTTAAAAGCTTTGCCACATTCTTCACATTTGTAGGGTTTCTCTCCAGTATGAATTCTCTTATGTGCAGTAAGGTATGAAGATAGGGTAAAGGCTTTGCCACATTCTTCACATTTGTAGGGCTTCTCTCCTGTATGAAATTTCTTATGATTAGTAAGGTTTAAGGACTGTTTAAAAGCTTTGCCACATTCTTCACATTTGTAAGGTTTCTCTTCAGTATGAATTATCTTATGTTTAGTAAGGTGTGAAGACCGATTAAAAGCTTTTCCACATTCTTCACATTTGTAGAGTTTCTCTCCAGTATGAATTTTTTTATGTCTACTAAGAGTTGAGGAATCCTTAAAAGCTTTACCACATTCTTTACATTTGTAAAATTTCTCTGCAGTATGAACTCTCCTGTGTGTACGAAGGGCTGAGACCCAGGAAAAGGTTTTGCCACATTCTTCACATTTGTAGGGTTTCTCTCCTGTATGCATTATGTTATGTCTATTAAGAGTTGAGGAATCCTTAAAAGCTTTTCCACATTCTTCACATTTGTAAAATTTCTCTGCAGTATGAACTCTCCTGTGTGTATGAAGGGCTGAGACCCAGGAAAAGGCTTTGCCGCATTCTTCGCATTTGTAGGGTTTCTCTCCTGTATGAATTATCTTATGTCTAGTAAGGTATGAGGATAGGATAAAGCCTTTGCCACATTCTTCACATTTGTAGGGTTTTTCTTTAGTATGAATTATCCTATGTGTAGTAAGGGTTGAGAATACACTAAAGGCTTTGCCACATTCTTCACATTTGTAGGGTTTCTCTCCAGTATAAAATTTCTTATTACTAATAAGGTTTAAGGACTGTTTAAAAGCTTTGCCACATCCTTCACATTCGTAGGGTTTCACTCCAGTATGAATTATCTTATGTTTACTAAGGTTTGAGGACCAGTTACAAGCTTTTCCACATTGTTCACATTTGTAGAGTTTCTCTCCAGTATGAATTATCTTATGTCTAGTAAAAGTTGAGGAATTCTTAAAAGCTTTTCCACATTCCTCACATTTGTAGAGTTTCTCTCCAGTATGAATTATCTTGTGTCTACTAAGACTTGAGAAATGCTCGAAACCTTTTCCACATTCTTCACATTGGTAAGAATTCTCTCTAATATGAATTCTTTTATGTTGACTTAGGTGTAAAAGCATGCAAAATGATTTGCCACATTTTTTACATTTGAAAGGTTTCTTTCCAATATGTCTTGTCTTATGTCTATTTGAATTTAGCAATTTAAGAAAGACTTTCACATATTTATCACATTGAAGTATTTTGCTTCTGTTAGCTGTCAAACACTGGTTTAGTTCATTATAACTTTCTTTGTGCACATTAAACTTATTCACACTTTTACAGCCTTTTCTTAACAGTAAATCCTTATGTCCACATTTTTCATATTCTCTCATTACTACTTTTTGAAAAGAATCTTTTATGCCGGGCCTTGGCCAAAGGTCTTGGCCAAAATGAGAACACAGAACTGAAAGAAATAAAAATAACAAATTACTTCACTTACTAGGCTCAGATAAATATACATTCTAACCTATAACATCATATAAACTACATAAATAAGATAGCATAGCAAAATAGCAAAGGCCCTAATTTTTAAGACATATATATGTTAAAAAAAAAATACTAACCGCCGGGCGCGGTGGCTCACGCCTGTAATCCCAGCACTTTGGGAGGCCGAGGCGGGTGGATCACGAGGTCAAGAGATCGAGACCATCCTGGTCAACACGGTGAAACCCCGTCTCTATTAAA